AGAAAGAGAGAAAGAGAGAAAGAGAGAAAGAAGGAAGGAAGGAAGGAAGGAAGGAAGGAAGGAAAGAAAGAAGGAAAGAAAGAAGGAAAGAACGAAAAAGAAAGAAAGAAGGAAGGAAAGAAAGAAGAAAAGAAAGAAAAAGAAAGAAAGAAAGAAAGAAAGAAAGAAAGAAAGAAAGAAAGAAAGAAGGAAAGAAAGAAAGAAAAAGAAACTATGAATTTTCTTGAGGGCAAAATTAATGGTTTTGGTTATCTTTCTACCCTTAATTCCTAGTCTGTAGAAGGTACTTAATTGTTGTTAAATAATGTTCTTAATACAATAAATGGATGTCCACTAACTCCTTGTATCTAGAATGTTGAACTTGAAAGAACTTATTTAATGGTCTATATTAGTAAAGAGAACTAGTGATGCCGATAATTAAAAAGAGAAAATGCTCTTCCATTAGATCAAAAAAGAATAGCTAGGTCTACTATTATAATTGGTGAGAAAGAGGCATTATCTTTTGTCTATGATACATACATCTGAGTATAAAAAGTATTGCTATCAATACCATTATTAATTTATTTTATTTAATTCATTTTATTTGTTGTGGAAAAAATTCTTTAAATATATGGCTTTACTTAAGGTAATTTAGAAAAATCTAGACCTAGATTTTATACCTTGGGCAGGGTTCCCTAAAGCATCTTCTCATATACTTCTCCCATGAGTTTCAATTTTACCACCATTTTGAGAAGATTACTTCATCAAATCTGTTTAGTCAAATTGCTTTTAAGCTGGTCTCTTCTTGCCAGGTTCTCTCTGTGTGTCACATGGCTATTTAAATCAAAAACCATGTCCTGGTGAAAGACATTTTAATTAACTTTAGGATAGTAGATTGAAAAAAAACCTGACTAAACTAATTGACTTAAATGTCTTATAACTAAGTGTAATAATAAAAAAAACTTTCTAATCAATGGAATTAAAACTTAATTTAAACCAAAGTTAAAAAAAAAGTCCTCCACTACCCGAAGATTAATTTCTCAACAAACCTGTCTTTGATGGTCACTGGCAGACTTGACTTTTTCCCCAATATATTCCAGAATTTTGATAAGTTTCCTCTCCTTGGAAAACTCATCACTCAAGGCTTTTCCTGCACAGAATTGGAGAGCAGCCAGCAGCTTCTGATACCAGCTTTTAAAATAAGCTTCATTCTGTGCATCCTTTAGCAGCCTGAAGGAAAGATAGAAAAAGAATTCGTGTATGTGAAGCTGATTTTTTAACCACCTCCAGCTGGAACAATAAGTGCATTTCAGACTAATCTGTATTTGGTGGCTTTGGGCAGTTTAACAGCCTAGAATGGGAGAAAATGTTGTTTATTTGTTGGCAGTCATCAAGTTCCATCTGATAGTTAATGAGATTCCAAAAGTGGAGAATCAATAAGAGAGCTGCCTTTCCTCATTTCAATTCAAAACACACTTTTTCTTCTTTCAGTCTTCTTAATTCTGTAACAAACGCTTAACTTGAAAACATACTTTTGATTTCTTTTAAAAATATATACAAAGAACTTTAGAAATAGTTTTTATAAATGACTGTACTATATCGTGACTCAATCATCATGGCCACCTTTTATTCTTTTCTTCAAATAGCAATATTCCCATATTGTCACATACCATGTATCACTTTTTTCCCCCAACACTTCCTTTTGATTACCTGGAGGAAGATATTGTAGGGGCAAGAGCACATTTTTGTTTGTTTTCAGGGGTTTCTGGACTCAAATCCAAGCTCTACAATGTAAAAGTTATTTAACCAGGCTAAGATTTCATTTCTTTATCTGTAAAATATGGTAATAACTGATTCTGTAGAGCTGTATAAGACCATAGAACAAGCTAAAACATTTGAAAGTGCTCATTACAGCAATATTGGTTCATCCATATTTCACAGCCGCCCCATGTCAACTTCTGTCTCTGCCTGGCAGTCTGCTCATGTCATGAACACAGGAGGCTTAGAACATGAAGAAGTGGTAATATTCTTCAAGATATGGAGTAGCTATAAGTATATGATTACTTTGTTTGTTATGTGACAATTTTTGTTGACTTGAAACTAATTCCAATATTCTACAACTTTATTTTCTATTTTGCCCTGAAACATTGAAATGGAATTTAAAAAGACTGATTCCCTTAAATCTTAATCTCTCTCTGATTGATTCTTTTAATCGTTTCTGGTCTTTATGTTTCCCCTCTTCTAAAATGATAATTGGCATTTAAGGAACTAGAAGAAAATTATGAGACTCAAATACTGAAGAAAAAATGGGTTCTTGGCATAGCAGTCAAAAAATATATAGATGAGTTTTATTCTGCATGCCTCATTTTATATCTCTGCCCAATATGTGTTATGTTACAGAGAGTCTAGCAAACACTTTATTTTTTTGATTGTTTTTTCTTCTTACTCATTTAAGTTAAAAAATTAGCTGAATGAGTCTATATTTTTTTAAAGGAGAGGGTCTCACACACACACACAAGCACACACACACACACAACCTCAATGGTCTAAAATTTTATCACAAAAATATATACTCTATTGATACCTGGTTATTTTCAATGCGAGAAAAGTAAACAATGAAAACTTTCCTATTGACTCCTATGATGAGATTTTGAAATTTCAGATAAGTAATCAATGAATCACATCATTTAATATCTGGAGGCTCTAAGAAAATACATGTAAGTGCAAAGCTGCAAATGCTAGCATGTACATGTGAAACTTTAAGACATTGTATGTAGAATTGCAGACCTCTTGGACTCTCATGGTACTTTGAGCACTGTGGGGTTTCAGTGACATAGGAAATTGGTGGATAGAGTCTTTCTATACACTGTGTCAATGTTTGTCACCATTTTCATATACTTTGAATATTGAGTTACCTGTCTTTTAAAGTATTTTTAACCTATTATAATATCTAATTATAACTCTATAACCACTCAACTGCTATATACATGATAAAATGAATAGTTATTCTGCCCAGATGAAGTCAACAACTTCCTACTAGAAGAATGAAAGAAAAAATATATTTTAGAGTTGGGTCATGGGAACTTTCAGAATTGCAGTTCATTTGTATTCACAATATTCTTACTTCTTATTCTATTAGAAATACATTTGCTTTTTTCATGAACAATGTATTGGCTCTTCTCTGGCTCAAGGAAGAAAAACTCTGTTTGATTCCTTGCTCAAAATAAAACAGAGTAGGGGAGGTTCACGGAGAGAATATGTGATCCTGTCCTAAAAAACATAAAAGCTAAGAAAATTCAGTGTATTCTGTTGTGATTATTTTCCTTAGAGAATATATTTCATTCAAGCTCTGCATCCCTGCCAACATTACATATTTTCCTGGTGAGATATGGCTCAAGATCTATGGATATTTTACTCAATGTGTAAAGAGATTGTTTTTATACATTGAAGAATTGAAATCATAGAATATTGGAGATGATAAGAGGTCAATTATTCTATTCCTGTGTTTTTAGGAACAGACATTTGAAATGACAAGATAAATTAACATGGCCCACAATTTTAAACAACTGCAGAGAAAGTTGGATTACATAGTTTTAGGTAGGGATACTCCGTTCTGTTTCAATGACCTTCACTATAAAAAAGTGGTGAATCCTAAATAATGTAGTTATCTATTGCCTCTGTCTATAAGATTGTAGAAAACAGCTGACCACTCTCTTTTAAGCATTACAGAAATCCTTTCCAAAAGATGTTGTAACTTTGGAGAAGTAGTATTTCTTACGCCAAAAAATGTCTAAAAATAAAAAGCTAAGGTTAAAGGACTAAGAAGTATGAAGTAAAACTTGCTATTAAATGACCAGACTTTTAAGATGCAAAGTGATCATGCATACATAAACTGTGAAGTAAATCTCAAAATGCCAGAGACCTGTTTACTGTAACGTCTGCAAGTCCCAGCTGTGATTCAGTTTGGCATTATTTTGTACATATGCCTTAATGTCTTAAGGACTGTAAGTTATGACAATGTTAAAATGAAGGTAAATACATAAAATCTAGATAATTAGAGAAGCTTTTGGCAGTGGTATGATAGGTAGTAAGCAAAAGGGAAGGAAACATAACTCAGGTACCCGAGCACGTTTGTTATTGGATGTCATAAAGGTCCTTGCCTAAATTAAGTGTATATTGGTAGACTCCAAGATACCTAAGAGAGTCACAAACCCCAACTAGCATGAAATGGAGATCTTCCTAAGAAATTAGAACTTTTTCCACATTTTTCCATGCATGTAGCTGCCTCTGGTCACATGGTGAATGACTTGTTAGAGCCACAGGAAAAGTATAGACAGTTCACATCCCATCAATCTACCAGCAGGACAGAACAGTAATCACACCATCTCATTCTTTTTTGCTTCATAACTTCCTTCAGTCTTGGTCTTAATTTTACTTCTCAACAGCACAGTATTTCACATCTTAGGGGCCACCTTAGATTTTTACCCACTTGTGTATTTCTTGTGGGTCAAGAGGGGAAACAACATTCAGTAACAGAAAAGAACTGAGTTACACAATGAAGATGAGTGATTTCAGATCACTCCAGGACTTCCCTTCCCATTTCCTCTTGAATTTATTGGTATTTTATTTGGGTCAAGGTGTGTGAATCAGGAGACCAGTTTTTAATGAGCACAAATGGATTCTAGAATGTGAATTTTTCAAGTGCATTTAGAACCGTGGTATAGATGAAGGCTAAAATCCCATACTTAATATGAAATTATTAATTTTAAGATTTCAATAGTGTCATTAAGAAATAAGAAGCATACGTTTTTAGCATTCACAACTTTATTTTACTTCTAAGAAGCTAAGAGATTTATTTAATATTTCTCTGAGGACTTAATATATTATATGCTTTTTGTAAAAATAACTATTCTCTCTGTCTAGCCCATTCTTAAATATTGATTTGCTCTTTCTGAGATATTAGCATTAAACTTCTGTTGAATTCTGCATATAATAAGGAGCATTACATGAGACAAGTCTTTGAATATGTAAATTTTCATTGAGAGTTATTCTGCAATATACATGTATCAACAAACTACTTTGTAAGAACTCCAATATAAAATGATTCACAAAAGAAATAAGCTCAGAAAATGATTAAATTCATACTCTAGAAATTGTATACATTTTTAGAACATTTAAATATATGAGAGAGTCCCAGAAGGTGTGTAACTGACTTGGTTTTACCCATATTATATTTTATATAGCTAATAATTCTTATCATCTCCAAAATAGTTTCTTTGGAATGTAATATGCTCACACATATGATCTTCTCCTTATGGTCACTCTGTGTGGTAGATTTAGTTGCTGTCCTAACTCTATGCATCTCCTCTGAAGATCATACATCCACAAACTCTGTCATGTGACTTTCAGTACTCTCCTGTAGGTAGAATATGCTTCTTTACTCCCTTGTTAAGTTGGCTATGTGATTTACTTTGGGCAACAGAAAGTGATGGGTTGGGAGGTGTACCCAAGTCCATGGAGATGCCTTAAACGGGCTATTGTGACTTGATTTGGTCTCTTGTTTGGTTTAGTTTAGCCTCTGCTTTCTGCCAGGGGAACAGCATGTCCCAGTAGGGGGCTGTTCCTGTAGTCCTGGAATAAGAAGACAACATAGAGCAGAACTGAGCTTTGAGATGCAGAGTTCAGTGTAACCAGGCAGAACTACAGTCAGTCCACAGCCAGAATGCTACATGAGTGAGAAATACATCTTTATTGCTATAAACCGCTGAAACTGTGGGGTTGTTTGTTGCTATGGTAAAAACTAATGAATATGTCAGCTTCCATATTCCTTCTTTTATTTTCTTTGTTTTTATTTTCACTTGTTTGTCCGAGTTGCCTTTACAGAATATAGAGTATATTTTTTCAACTTCCTCAGGAGTAGCCCTGAGGATATTTGGGAGCAAACCTAATTACTGAAAATAAAAGTCATCTGGATCCAAGTCTGGTGTATTAGATGAGTGATCAATTTAAGTATGCTATTTCAGATCAAAAACTAGAAAAGTAATAAAAATGTCCTTTTTTTCCCCATGGATCGTGAAAAGCCTCAAGGGGTATTTCAAAAATTAGTTGATCCAGTTCCTTTGGATATGTATATTTTGCTATATTGCTGAAATTTTATTGTTATTTTATTACTACTAACATACTAACATACTTTTTGACTCATTTAAAAGTGTGAATAGGCCTATGTACCA